GTACGTAGATATCCCTATTAATATCCCCCTCTGTGAGTTGTCATTTCCGCTTGTGGCACGTCCCCTGGGCTCCAAGGATACCGAAGCAAAAGGCAGCCACCCTCGTATTGTGATGGTCGGTACTGTTGCTACTATCTGATGGGAGATGTAGGGCGTTGGACAATTTCTAGGAGCCTCCCTTCCTCCACCCCTAGACTATTTTAGGAAGGCTGGGGGAGGGAAAATGGTTAGCGGAGCCCAGGGCTTGAAGACTGCGCGGAGGCCCGGGCGACTCCCCCGGCGCAGTCATGGTGCAGTTGCTTCCAGGCAGAGCCTACACTAGAGGGCAAGATAACTTTCATCTCCTCCGATAGACACGTTTCAGACAGATTTTGCCCTGCTGCTGGAGGAGTTCTGGGAAATGGTGGTTCACAGCGGGGCAGGTGCATCGCAAAGGGCAGAATTTAGTGCAAAATGCAGCATCCATCAGACCCAGAAAGGAAAGCCCCTTGGGAAAGGAGATTGGCTGTGCTGCTTGGGATAACAGTGTTTGATGCTGGAAGTTTAGGCCTCTTCCTTTAAGAGTCAGGTTCAAATAAGAAATATCAGCTCTGAAACCTCAGCAGCTTGTGATGTTCATTTCTGAGCTTTTCAGTTTGGAGTGAAAAACTTACATGTATCGGATTTTTTTTTTTTGTCAACGTTAAGAAAGCCCCAAATGAATTATTTTTCTGTTCTTTAATGCAAATTTATTCATTTTGATCTAAGAACTACTTTCCTAAAGGCAGGATTTGTGTACAAAAGCCAGTCCTATGCAAGAGAATGCCTACTAATTTTAAATCAAGCAAAGGTTATTAATATGACCTACATCTGCATAAAATGCTGATTTAATTGTGAGTCATGAAGATTGTTCTTTGTGAGAGGCTTTTTATTCCCCATGATGAAACAGATTAATAATATGGATAAAAAGTTTTCCTTATCACCAGAATAGTGCACTAAAATGCGTAACTAATTTTCTTGTGTTTTTCAGCCTGTTTATTACTTTGTAGCAGATTTAGAACAAAATGTACCGGATCACTACTAACTTAATGTTTCATGTTGAAGATAAAAAAAATAATAACATGCTCAGACAGACCATGATCATAATATTGCTAGCCTTTGAAAAATATTCAATCAACTGTTACATCATAGCCTTATTTTCATTTTTCTTAACTAATGATTTTCCACAAACTGATTTAATTCTGTCCTTATTGTCCCCAAGTAAGCATTCTTTCCACTTGATTCCTTGCCACCAGGGAGCAGGGACTGGGAAAAACTACTTTATCATTTGAAAAATGTCTAGAATTGCTGGGTGCTTCACTGGGTCCTACTCTCTGATAGTTATGCAGCCGGCAGCTTCTGGCCACTGTCAGGAGGTGTGACTATAACAGGAAGTAAGAGCAAGGTGGGTGGCATTTTCGCAGTTCTAGCTACTGCAGCCACACCCTGTAGCCTGAATGTGACTGGTGAGCAGCGCCCAAGACGCCTCTGTGGGGCAGATGTCTCTTCACTGTGTCCTTCCTTGAGGTCTAATCTAAGGAGAACTGATGTTGGGCAAGAAGTGAAATACATATTGAGCAAGGTATGGAAAGAAGGTGGCAGTTATCTTTGGGTGCATTTTATACCCCTAGCTTACAAAATCATTTGCATCATAACCCTGAGTGTTTTTCATGCTGTTTTCTTCTATAATTTGTCTTGTGCTTACTTGTTGGTATTCTTGTGACTCTGGGAAAAGGACCATTTCTTATCATTGTCCTGAATAATTCTTAATAGTGAATAACAGAATTATTTACTAATAACCTGAGTACATATATTAGTAAATATATTTATATTAAGCCAATGCTGTCCCTCTTCTTTCCTACTTCATAGCCATCTTAATGTTTATTAAGTAATGTCATTACTAAGGGCAGAACAGACAAAAAATAATTACATTTAAAATTAGAGAGTTATGTGAATATAAGCCAATAAAAGTCTTGGAGAGGGTGGTTGAAAGAACTTTTACATTTTTAATTTAGTAGTGAATTTCAATATTATTGCTTTCATGTTCATATTTAGATATATAACTAAGCAATATTTATATATCATATTGCTGTGAATCTTTTTATGCATTTATGGTCTCCATTCTTCCACCCCCATTTTCTGGGTTTGGAATTTTCTGCTATAGTTTCCTAATATCTAAAATTTTGGTTGTATTGCTTTAAGGTATATTCTTGTGGCCTGGTAGTATTTTTCCTACAGTTTCCTTAGTGTATTCCTTTCTAGTCACACAAATAAGAAAGAGCTGTGGTAGCCTTTGGTACATTTTGGGTAAGACAGAACAAGTTGAGTAGTGACACTTCATGACTGTGCTTTTCACAGGTATTGGTGGTAAGAAGACACTGTCAATCAGCTAGAGAATCCCAAATAGCACAGAGTCGAAATTCCCTCTGCATCCTGCACTGAGTGTGCAGCAGACAGTTATTGATTGAATGTTCTGTTTGTCCCCACTGTGGCCTGGACTTCTCCATTACAAGTCACCCTGTCTGATTTGTGGCAATAGTGTTTATATCATCTCCTCCTCTGGTCTGTAAGTTCAATGAGGCGCTTGGTCTTTCTTGTTCACCATTTCACTATACACTGAGATCCATTACAAATATTTTCTCAATACACATTGGCAGTGAAATAATAAATACAGGAATATTACCTTTCTGCTAAGTATGATAAATATATTTAACTGCATTTTCTTAGTTCCTTCTTCTGGAGAGATGTAGAGATGGTGTAGTGTACGATTCATCAATGTCTACCCCATTCTCCCCTTCCATCCAAGTGCCCGGTTTCACCCTTTATTCTCTAACTCCCCACCCCACAATATCCTGCATCTATTAAAAACTCCTTTCAAAACCCTGGGATGGTAAACTTATTGGTTTTTCTCGATCTCCCTTTGGTGACCAGTTCTTAGGTCATGTTCACAATCAGAACACCACCACATAACTACTCAGTTTGAGGCTCTTATCACTGTTCGCCTATAGTTGTTGTCCCTTATGCTACCATTGATTTTGGAATTGGAGCACACCTTTGGGGTCATCTTTCCATTTGGGGGCCACTTCTCAAATTGTTGATGGAGAAACTGAGGACAGTTGATGGAGAAACCAGTGATTTACTGAAACTCAACGGCATGCCATCGGTTATTTATTTATTTAGGCCATACTGGCGATTGAACCCAGGGCATCATGCATACTAGGCAAGCACGCTACTTGATTCAGCCTAATTTCACATAAGTTGACCTCATTTTACAGATGAGGGAACAAAGGCTCAGAAAAGCTAACCTTTCTTAAGATCATAGAGACAGAGTTAAGAGTATGCTCCTTCCTGGTCTTTCTTCATCCAGTTTGTGCATTTCCTGTACCATTCTGTCTCCAATAAGTGGTTGTTGAGGACAAGGACATTCATGCAGAGAGCCTTCTCAAAATTGCCCCACTAGTTGGGACAAAGTTAAGCTTAGAATTTGTATCTCTTAATCACAGTCTTCTTTTTTGTATTCTTTTTATTATTTTTAGATTTATTATCAAATCACATGACACAAAATTAAAGTATCAGTAAAAAGCAAGAAAATTATAATTCTATATAAGACCTGTGTATAAATAATGATAAAAGCAAATTGGTTTATCTGAGGCCCGAAAAAGGAAGGATGTTGTTTCAACTTCTGTTGTGTTGGGGAGTTAGGGGTTTTTCTGGGGTTTATCTCACTCACATAAAGTATTTTGAACCCAGTTGACCAATCACCAAGCCTTGCAAATTTTGCCCTGTGAAGGTTTCTTCTCTTTGTCTTACTCTCACCCTCTTCCCTCTCTCTCCAGTTTCTGCCTTCATCCTCTCCTGTCTGGATTCCTGAGATAACCTTCCTAACTGGGCTTCCTGCCTTGACCACTTCAAATACACCCTTAAAAACTATAGGTATTCATCTAGGTCATTTCTTCTCACTTCCAGCCCAACATGCCCCGATGGTTTCTTTTTGCCTCCTAGAAAACAAGAACCACTCTTCTGTGCATGTACACAGGGGGACCCCCACCATCTGGCTACTCCCTCATTTGTCAGAGTGTCACCTGGCAGAGGCCGTCAGTGTCAGGCTAATAGCTGTTCCACATATGATTCATGCTACTTCTCATTCCCATACCTTTGCTCAAACTGGCCACTCTACCTGGAAAACACTGTCCATATTTTCACCCAACTCTAATTCATTGGCCAAGACTGAGTGTAGGTGTTATCTCCTTCCCAGTAGAATTTTCCAGAACCCCCAGATTGGCAAAACCTTCTCCTTTCTAGCCCTTCATCTTTATATTTGCACTTACTCCTGGGATTTTTGTATTGTTTTCTCTTTGTTGTCTTTTCCATTATGTTCTAAGCTCCACAAAATTAGATTCCTGTGTTGTATTCATCTTGGTAGCCCCAGCATTGATATTGTCACTCAATGTGTTAGCTATGCTTTGGCTGTAAGACTGGATGCATACTAGAGACAAGTAAGGAATTTCTGAGTTGAATGTGGAGAGAGAGATTAACTGATGTTAGAATTAATCTTTTCTGTTACATGAATGTGATCTACAAGAGGGTAGAAGCAGAATGATCTGTAATGCAATGACTTGCAGAAATCCCTTTTAATTCTGTAATTCTTGATTAAAGGTGGGGGCTATGTTTTAGTCATTTAACCCTGCTAAGCAGGACTTAGTGTAGGGCAGCTGGATTGAAGTGAATTGCTTTCCCTATCCCTGCTTAGAATGCATGCAGATGAATGATATTGACAGATACACAGTTTTAGATAGACAGATTTCAGAAAGTTAGACTCTTATATTTGTGGAACCTAACTTTCTAACAGATTAGAGAAAGAGACCAGTTGTAAGTTTCCTCAGGCCTTTCTCACTGTTATTTTTCCAAGTTAAGGTTGCTTTTGTGCATGGGCAGGTAGGAATATTACCCAGGAAATTCAAACTGCTAATGGGAACATAATTTTGGCAGAGTTGTAGGACATGATATTATTTTCCAGCCAGCCATACATAATTATTTTCCCTCTGAGAATCTCTTAGGGAGCCACCCACTGAGAGGTAGCCTTCTAGCCTAGAAGATGCCAACGACTTTGTCCTTCTCCTACTAATCTGATTTCTGTCTCTCTACTACTTGACACTGTTTACTCTTCTCTGCCCTCTAACTGGCAAAGTGAGCAGTCAGGGAGGCCTTCTTTCTCTAATGGTTCCTTTTTGTTTTTATTTTTTTAAGCACAGGGCAGTAGCAGTAGCAGTAGCAGTGTGTAGCATTTTTTATCCTTTAAAGATGTGTGCAATTTATGCTGGTATTAGTAATACCATTTAAAAATCATTTGTACAGCCCCATGCAGTGGCCCACGCCTGTAATCCCAGTGGCTCCAGAGGCTAAAATAGGAGGATCGAAGGTTCAAAGCCAGCCTCAGCAAAAGCAAGGCACTAAGCAACTCATTGAGACCCTGTCTCTAAATAAAATACATAAAAGGGCTAGGGATGTGGCTCAGGATTTAACCCCTGAGTTCAATCCCCAGTACCCAAAAAAAAAAAAAAATCATTTGTACTTTGTATTTATACTCTATTGCTTAACCAATTCATCATAAATAATGCTAATTTTAAGGACTATACATTGAGATTATAGCATAATTTTGTAGCATGCATAGATTCTCCTTTTCCTTCAGGCAGATGGGCAATTCCACACATATGTGCTGTGCTTTCTTCATGTTTCTGTCCCCCTTCTTTTCTTCCTACCCCCATTTCCCCCTCCCCATCATCATCATAACCAAGAGATGTAGTAGGAATCGTAATAGAACATCCGGCTCACATGGGCCTCTTCTGTGGCCCTTGGTTAAGTGCCTTTCTCTGGGTGCATTATTCAGCCCTCTCTTCTGATTATCCTGTTCATGGCAAGACCTGTCCAGCCACTCCTTGGGTTAGCAATCCTTGTTAAAAGTACACTGCTCAATGGCAAGATTCCTCCAAATATTTGCCTACCCAACTCCCGAATGACCAATTACACTTGACCAAAGCAGAGAATTCAGGCAAGACTTAGAAGAGCAATATCCTCCCTGATTAGTCCATGTTCGACCCAGCCTTACAACCTACTTTACAGTCTTTCTACATAGGGAAGAAGAAAGCTAAACCCGGCCCATTTTGTCTTCTAAATTTAGAATATTTAAAAGTCAGATTTTGAGACTGAGATAATTTTTACCTTTATAAACTCTTTTAATTTGTCAAATTGTTATAAGAGCTAGGATATGATCTCATTCCTAGAAACATTACAACAAAACAAAGCAAAATATGTTTGCAAAATAGCATAGATAAGAGAACCTGTGAAAATTGAGAAATAGAGCTCAGTGTGTTGAGTATAGAATTCATAGATTGATAAAGTTTATAATTAAAAAAAACATGGAAAGAAGTGTACTTCTGTTTCCAGCAACCAATTTTATTTTAGGTCCAATATAAATTTTGTCAAATATCATATAAATTTCTAACATTTGCATGGCACTTTATAAGTGTTCTTTACATTGGCTATTTCAGTTGATAATGAATCAGGAATTCACACTGAATGGAGAGAGTTCTCCTTTTAGCACTATGATGACCTAGTAGATTTTTTTTTATTATTAATATACCTTTTTCTTGTTTTGTTTTTCAGATTCCAGAGTTCATCTAAGAGGGAAGTCTTAAAAAAAAAAAAGAAGAAGAAGAGGAAGAAGAAGAGGAAGAAGAAGAGGAAGAGGAAGAAGAGGTTCAAGATTTGGAAGGTTTGGAAGCCCTCACTCACTGATAGCTGCCAGTACCTTGGATTCCTTTGTGACTCCTCACATCTAGAAAGTCCTCTCATGTTTTCTGGAGTGGCATAGTCCTGTACTGCCTCAGGGAAGAGGCTCTCAGTGGTGTTGGTTTCATGCCACAGAAAGACCATGGCAAGTTCCAGAGGTACCTCTCGTTCTCCTCGGGACATCGCCAATGTGATGCAGAGGCTGCAAGGTAAGGGGCAGAAATCTCAGTATTGTTTGTTAAATACACTTTTAAATCCAAATATCAACATAACTGAGAATCTACATTTGCTTAGATTTTTATTTAATTTTATGAATTGAAAGCAAAGCAAAGAAGAGCAAATGATAGAGTGGACATCTTTTCTTCCACTGTTTGAAACAAGTGCATGCTGTCTTAAGATGAGTTTTGTTTAGGTAGAAAGAAAAGATAAAGATATGGGTCTTTGTGAATTCTGTCTGCATTAGTGTGATCCAAATGGCCCTTCAGTGCCAATTGTTCTAAGTCTCTCCTTCAATAAAATTAATGACAGTGCCTGCTAAGATGACCTTGGCAATGCCACACACAGCCATGTACTGTTGCCAGACAGTGCATGCATGTATTTGGCTTTGTTTTGTTTTAACTGGATGCAGTGGTTCAAGCCTGTAACCCAGCTACTTGGGAGGCTGAGGCAGAATGATGGCATGTTCTAGGTCAGCCTGAGAAACATAGAGACACCCTCATCTCAAAGTAAAAAATAAAAGCAGGGAATGTAGTTCACCTGGATTTAATCCTCAGTAGCACCATAGCAAATATATATATATAGCAAATATATATATAGCAAATATATATATATATATGCTATATTTTTATTTATATATATTTTTTTATTTTATATATATTTTATATATTTTTTTATTTATTTATATATATATATTTATATATATTTTATATATATTTATATATTTTATTTATTTATATATTTATATATATATATATATATTTGCTATGGTGCTACTGGGGAGTATATATATAAAATATATATTATTAACAAAATGAGGCAAAAGAGGCTCCGAGAGGTGGAAGGACATGACAGTCATGATCAGTGGCAACAGATGGACTAATCCTGCATTTCTCGCTGGTGCTGTTTCTTTATCAGTGGATTGTCTTCTAAAACAGAATTAATAGTAAAATGTTATGGCTGTTCTTAGGGGAGCTCCCAATTCTCAGTTTTCTTTACATGCATATAATCCTTGAACCATAAAATCAATTATCTCCTGTAGGTATGTGAAAATGTTTTGTTTTTTTGTCATAATCCCAATGCTCCAATGTATACTTTCAGGGTACAAAGATTTCCCAATTAGGAGGATTTTATTCTAACCTTTGTCAGGAGAGCTTAAAAATAATGTTACAGATTGATATTTTCAGTTTTCTAGTACTGCCAATGAATGGCTGCTGTGATTTTGCACCACAGCTACCATAGCAAGACGGTGTCATGATCCCACTTTCTTTGCTTACAGTATATTTGATGTCCACAGCAGTAAATTCCAGTGAAGCACTCCTGACTTTCAAAATACACACTGAGCTCTTAAATCTGATATTTATCCCCAGTGTATGTTCATAGATATAGAAAATCAGGACATGGTGGATCTGAATCAGTTCTCCATGTCTGACCAGACACCAACCAGTTGATTGAGTGCTCTGTGGCCCGTGAACCCACCTAATTCACCTGCCCAGGGGGACTTGTGATGCCTCAGGGTGAGTGGTAACTTAAGTTTTGAGTTTGTTGTTGAACAATTCCATTGGTCATGCCAAAGAGAGCCTTGTTGAATTAAAGAACAGGCCCTAAGCAACTCTGCGAAACACTGTCTCAAAATAAAAATGAAAAAGGATGGGATGTAGCTCAGTAGTAAAGCACCTCTGGATTCTACCCCTGCTACCAAAAAAAAAAAAAAAAAAAATCAGATCTCTGCTAAATATACAAGTATATATAGGATGAAAAATTATCTGATTGGCTCTTCCCAGAACCAGGGAGCTCCAATTTTTATTGAGCATCTTGATTTGGGTAAATGAGTTTGGAGTTCATTCTTCTGTCTATGTTTGACTTCGCTGTGTGCCAGAGGGCAAGTTTCCAAACCATTTCAGAAATGGCAGCTATGAACAGATAGAAAGGAAACCTATAGGTCTCTTACAAAAGTACAAAAGTATAGGAAAGATAATTTAGGTTATAAAGCAGATTTCACCCAAAGTTTATTAAACGTGAAACTTCTGTAGATGAGAAACACATTGACAATAGAGGAATGTTGTGAAGGGAAAAATTGAAATCGCTTAGCATCAGACTTTGGTCCTGCAATCACTACCCATCATTCAGACCTTGGTGTAAATGGAAGTCTTTTCATTAAGGCTATGGTTGGGGTGAGAGGAGAATAAAGAATACTGATGGCTTGATTTTTTTTTAAATAATGGATGTATAAGTTGTTTTTATTGAGAAATGTATGGAGTGGGAGAAAGAGAGTAGTCCCCATCTCCATTCCACACTGGGCCCATGGCAGTGGATTCCTTGTTTAACACACATGCATGTGGGTGCCCCATTTGCAAAATATGAACAGCTCCCACCCAGCTTAGACTCTTTCAGAATTGTGTTGTGAATCTTAGGAGATAATATACTAAAGGCGTTTCACAAACTATTTGAATAGCTGTGCTATGTTGAACTATTCCAGTAGTCACAGAAGAACATTGCATAAGAAGGCACAGCTTGATAAGTTGTTGCAAATCTTTCTTGAAAATTTTTCTAATCACCTAGATTGTGGGAAGAATGTTAATGGTCTAATGTATTCAGTGATGTATGAAACTGGTAATTCTATTACATAACGAGGTGACTATACTTATTGTATTAATTATTCTTCCTTTCTACAAAAGTTATAACAAATCAGAAGGGTACCTGACAAAGTTAGAATAACAAGCCTTAAAATCCTGAAGGAAGAAAATTCATGAGCATCAATTATTTACTGTATATAGATTACTGATGGCCACAAATGTAAGGTCTGCATTGCTACAAAATGCGACACACCTAGTCTGCATTAGAGGAAGTGAAGTGAAATGACAGGAAGTGAAAGTGACCTGGTGGGTGTGTCTGTTAACAAATACATCTTCTGGGTTAATTCTGCTGATTCAATGGGCAAGGAAGGGGCATTTTTCTTGCTCTTGATTCTCCTGTTGTACCCTTACTGATGCTTTGCACCCACGCAGGGGCCAGCCCTCCCAGAGAGAAGAGACCTGTCATTTACCAAGGGTATTTATGGGCTGGCTGGAACCTCCAGACAGTTGAACGAGGTTCTAATAAGTGGAGGGCTGGCATTAATGCCCAGATAATTAAGACAAATGAGGAAATTTATTTGAGGCAAGATAAATTTCTATAAGCTTAAATAGAATCAGACTTGCTTGCCATTTTCAAAGTTCGAGTCCATAAGCACATTCTTCTAGAATTCCCTTTTCTCTGCTTGGATAGATAATGAGTAACTACTGTTTTTGTTTTTTCTCCTCTTGGGTTTACTGTCATTTCACAACCATGAATAACAAATAAAGAGAAGGTCACTTTAAATAATGGCTTTACTATCTTCCTTATTTAGTCTATAACTATAATTGTTGACTATTTTTCTGTTTTTAATTTTTATTCCCAGTGCTAGGGAATTCAAGCACACACAGAGATTGCTACATAATTTAGCTGCTACTGTAGCAGTTCAATATTTCACCTTTGCCAATATTTATGCTTGTTTGAGCATAATGTTTTAGGCTGGGATCCTGAATTATGGATGAACAGACAGACTGCAATGCGGAGTTTCATTTGGTCTTAAGAATAATAAGGGTTTCTGTAACTTTAATCAATTTCTCTATAGGCTTAAAAGAAAATACAAGAAAAGAGTGTTATAGGGGCGTATTAAATTTTAAAATGCACATGATTAGTATACATATATTTTTGCTTTTAAATGCTAACTAAGGAGATCTGTTTGACAAATAGTTTATAGAGTCACTTTAAGGTTACATCTAAGAAAATAAAAGTCTCAACTCTTTAGATTATTGTTTTTACAAGAAAGTAACAATATTACAAAGTAAAGACCTTTGTAATTTTTTCATAGTGCTTATGCATAACATTTATTTAAAACATTGGTTGACTAACTTTAGCAATGACTTTTTTCTTTTGAATTGTATTAAACTTTATGGATTTTTAAATTAATGCATCAATGTTGAGTATTATACAGCGGGGTGACATTGACACAATCTTATAGACAAAGTAGAAAATGCCAGAAAAGATCCAGAAAACTCTTTATTTAGTTTCATCAATTTCTCTTCCTATAAGAATGTTGTGTGATGGTGTCTGAAATCCAAATTGACACAAAACAAGGGACCTGCTAAAATGTCACATAGAATGGGCTGATTTTTAAAAGTAGGATTATTCTCTGCAAAGTCAAAATTTGATCTTTTAATCTTGTGACTAGATTTAAAGAAAAACAGAAAAGAGAAGCATTTTGACCTTTGGAGACTTATCTATGAAATTTGCTAGCTGTTCAGTATAAAATCATCACATAAAAACAAAAAGCAGCATCAAATTCCATTAATTGTACTTAGGTACAACTCTCTTTTGAGTTTCATCTCTTTCTCTTCCTATAAGAATGTTGTATGATGGTATCTGAAATCCAAATTGACACAAAACAAGAATAATTTCTTTGTATTTTAGAACATCATAGTTAAATAAATATTTGAATAAATGAGTAAGTCATAATCCCCAAACTAATGAACTAAAGATAAAATTAGTCATGGCATCTAAAAACAAGAGAACAAACCATTAAAATTGGGTCTCTTTCCTATCTTTTAGAAAAAGTTACCTAAAGTGTGTTTATTGGGGCTTTCAACATAAAATTGCTCTAAGAACACACATTCTGCCTGAATGGGTGATTATACTGACTTCTCAGATGTATGTGCTGTTTTTGTGACTGAATGCTTTAAACAAGTTTTCCTTCTTAAGAATATAGTTCCATGTTTATATTACTTTTATATGTATCAAAGTGCTCACATTTCTATACTTCTGGTCCTTCAAGTCTTTTTCTTTGTAGAGCTATTTCATTATTGTGCTACATGGATAAAATGTCTTGGGCCTTCAGGGTCTTTGAAAACCTTTAGAATATTATATATCAAATGGAAAAAAAAACCTGCTGAATCAAAAATAGCAAAAGTTT